AAAATATAAAACATAAAATTTGGCACATTTTAATAATTAACAAATTTTTTTCTAGCTACAGTAGTTTTGGAGTTATGCGCCTTTAAAAGCTTGGGCCGCCGGGGGCAGAAGGGCGCCACGTTTAAAGGCGCATATCTCAAAAACTGGGAGTGCTACCTTAAATTGTTAAATTATCAAAATATAGAGCATAAAATTTAACACATCTCATTAGTTGACAACTTTTTCTTAACTACAATAGTTGTTGAGTTATGCGCCTTTAAAGTGCCGCGCTCCCTTCCCTGGCGCGCGCCGGACGGATAGGTGGCGCGCCAAATTTAAAGGCGCATAACTCAAAAACTACTGTAGCTATCAAAAAAGTTTAAACAATTAAAATGTGTCAAATTTCATGTTTCACATTTTAACCTACCGATTCATCTGCAGAAGACGTGACGGATGCTCCAGAATCCGTCGAATCTCTAGACTCTCTAACAGCCACCATTCTTCCGTTCTCCTCGTTGTCGTCCCAAAAATGACAATGCGTTGTTTGAAGCGAACGTCTTCTAATTTCCACATCTCCAGAAGACGTTGTTGTCGAATCGCCGCCCACTCGAGAATCGTCTACTACAAATCATAGTCTGTCTTAATCCTCAAACACACAAAATTTCACCAAAATGGTCTAGATCATTTTGTCTTGTATACAATAAAGGGTGCAGAAGATCAGAAGACGTTGGTCTTCTGAATTTTTCTTTAAAGGCAGAAATCACAGATGAAAAACACACAATTTGTGACTGTGACTGTACCCAAAAGGTCTATAAACAATTAAAAAAAACATCCAATTTTCAAAAGGTCATATCTCAAAAACTAAAAAAGATAGGTATTTGTTTTAACTTCAAAAATGTGTTGAATTTCATGATCTATGTTTTTGTAGTTCACACTTTTTTGATAGCTACTGTAGTTTTGGAGTTATGCGCCTTTAAAGTTGACGCGCCTCTTCGCCCCGAGCCTCCTCTCCCAGGGGGCAAGGAGGGGAGGCACACCAACTTTAAAGGCGCATAACTCAAAAACCACAGTAGCTAGCAAAAGTTAAAAATTACTAAGATATGTAAAATTTTATGCTGAGCAATTTTGTGATTTCCAGTTTTTTGTTAACTATCTTGGTTTTTGAGTTATGCGTCTTTAAAGTTTGCACCAACACCCTCAGAGAGCGATATGAGACGCAGACAACTAGCCTCTCTCACTTCTCTGTGTCTCTTTTTTCTATCTGCATCCAGTTCAACTTTTTGATGCTGATCTTGTACGAAAAGTGACGCGTTGTTAATCAAATCAAATCAAGCTAAATCATGATATCACCCTGATAAAACTTTTTTGATCTTTGAAAAATTGTTTTAACTAAAAAATTTTAGATAAACTAATGAAATCGAATTAGAACGGAAACTACAAAACTTACTTAATTTTATGATCCCCCACATTTTTTGACTTTGGCGGGAAATTTGAAAAGTTTGAATATTTTGTAAACAACACGTCATCAAGCTATATTCCATCTACTGCTTTCTGGGTCACTCACTTTAAAGACGAATATCTCAAAAACTAAAATAGCTATCAAAAATTTGTCGACTACAAAATTGCTCAGCATAAAATTTTACACATTTTTGTAATTTACACCTTTTTGATAACTACAGTAGTTTTTGAGATATGCGCCTTTAAAGCTGATGTATCCTATAGGCGCAGTGGGCGAAGTGTCGTTAGAGACGCAGACAGCTAGACACTCTCGTTTCTCTGCGTCTCTCTTCACTTTCTTTTGGATTGTATTATTGGGTTCCTTATCAAGTTTAGCTTGGCAACATTTTTATCAATTTATTTTTAAAAAAAGTTTTTTTGAAATTTTGCCGCGACCAACTTTTCGCGGCTTTTCGCGCCTGGCAGGGCCTGACACTATGCCTGATAAGGCGTCATTTTTCAAATGTGCACTTTTATTCAAAAAAATTTGACCTAAAAAAGCCAAAAAGAGTTAAAGCGAAGAGACGCGGACAAAAGGAGCATCTGAGAGAGGGTACTGTAACTTTAAAAGCGTTTATCTCAAAAACTAAACAAGCTAACAAATAGTTGCTGTCTAGTAAAAGATAGCGCATAAAATTTTACACATTTTATTTGTTAACAACTTTTTTCTAGCTACAGTACTTTTTGAGTTATGCGCCTTTAAAGGGTAGTCGTCCGACGGACAGAACGCGCGCGGCAACTTTAAAGGCGCATAACTCTAAAACTACTGTAGCTAGAAAAAAGTTGTCAATTACAAACATGTGTCAAATTTTATGCTGAGCAATATTGCAATTGACAAAATTGAGCTAGAATTCTTTGCTTTTGAGATAGAGCGTGTTTTCTGATCCTTCTTTTTTTAGCACTGACTTTTAGCTCACCTAACTTTAAAGGTGCATATCTCAAAAACGAAGCTAGCTACAAGAAATTGGTTAACTAGAAAAATAATCAAAATCTGGTGATAATTATCTCTCGCTAATTATCTCACCAATTAAATCCTCCACAAACGCGTCATTATCATTTCCATCAGTTGTTGCTGCTGTCACCAGACACGTTCTATCCGATGCATCATCGATTTTTGGCATTCTGAAGAAGTTTTAACCTTAAAAAAGGATTTTGGACAGGAAAAAGCAAATATGCTCTATTGAGAACTGTGAATTCTCTAATTTAGAGTGATTTCTCAATGGAGCGCGTTTAAAAAAGGCCTTTTCCCGGATTTTTTTTTCGAAAAAAAAGGAAAATGTTCAAATTTTTTAGGCCAATTTAAAAATATTTTCCAATTTAATTATTTTTTTTTTTGCAAAAAAAGATAAAAAAGAACATAGAACATGGACAATAAACGAGATGGGAAACCGATAGATGGTGAGAGAGAGAGAGAGATAAGAGACGCAGAGAAAAAGAGAGGGGGAAAAGAAGGCAGAGAAAAAATTGGGGGAAAAAAGAAAGAAGAAGAAGAAGTGAAATTGATAAGAAATGATAATTGATAAGAAAGAAAGAAATCAGTGGAAAACACAAGATTTTTGAATTTTTTTGAGAGCTGAAAATTATAGAAAAATTTAAAAAAAAAATTAAAATTGAAAAATCAAAAAATTAACTTTTTTAACTTCTAATTCTTTAATTTTTAAAATTTATTATTTTTTTAAAAATTTTAAAAATTTTAAAAAATCAGAATCAAATTAAAAAAAAAAAAAATTAATTTTTAATTTTTTTTAAATTAAAAAGTTTTTAAGTAAAGAATGAAAAAAAAATTAATGTTAAAAATTTAAAAAAAAATGTTTTTTCCAATTTTCAGAAATTTTGAATTTCTGGCTGAAGTTTCTAGAAAAATCAATTTTTTCTATTTTTTGAAGATCCATTTGTCCAAATTGCCCCAGAAAAAAAAGGGGAAAATAATTATTTCCAAAAAAATTCAATTTCATTCTAAAAAAGAGAAAAATCGATAAAATCAGAGCACAATGAATGCTATAAATGCTATATGGAGGTGGAAAATATGCAAAAAAAAATGCGGCACCTATTCACAAAAAATGCACAAAGAGCTACTCGGAATGGCACAGGATATCTAAAAAATAGGATTTTTTAAAAACACAAAAAAAAAACCAATTCTACAAGAATAATCTATTTTAATCAATCAATAAAACCGAATTTTTTAGTTTAAAAAATCAAAAAATCGAGTTAATTAGCTACCAATTAGCTACTAATTAGTGGTTGTGTGTCTCCTTGAGTCCGTCCATTGGATAGTGCTCCTTGTACTCCTTGATATGCGCATCCAGCTCATCTCTCTGACGACGTAGACGCAGTGGAAGCTCATCGTAGACGTCATCGAATAGGTCGTGATAATGAGCCTTCTTTCGTTTTTCAGCAGCCGAGAACTCCGTGAGCACTCGCTTCTTCACCTCCTTTTGCCAGTCCTGGAATAATTGAATTTAGTGAAAAATGATTGAAAATGAGCCGAAATTTGGCTTTTCTCGGTAAAAAATGACCTAAAATAAGGCCATCAAATTTGAGCCAATCTATCTGGGTTACTGTAGGAGGTATCGAAAATCTGTTAACTGATAAAATTTTACTGATATTATGCTGAACATTTTATCAATTGACCACTTTTTGATATCTCTCACAGGAACCGAGATAAATTGGCTCAAAGTTGACGGTTTTTTAAAGGCCAAAGTAGGCCTGTCAACTTTGAGCGCCTCTATCTGGGTTACTGTAGGAGATATCAACAAATTGCCAACTGATGAAACATTTATCATAATATTAATAACAATTTATCAGTTGACAGATTCCTGATAGCTGTTACCGAAACCGAGATATAGGGGTTTCAAGTTTGATAGCCCTTTTGGCTTGTTTTGGCTTACTTTAAACAGTCTAAAATAAGCTAAAATAAGGCCATCAACTTTAAGCCCCCCATATCTCGGTCCCTATAAAAGATATCAAAAATCTGTCAACTGATAAAGGATTGATCATCTTATGAGGTACTTTTTATCAGTTGACAGATTTTTGATATCTCTTACAGTAAGATAAATTGTCTCAAAGTGAAAAGTAAATTTTGGCATATTTTGGCCTTCAAAAACAACCAACTTTAAGCTAATTTATCTGGGTTACTGTAAGAGATATCGAAAAATCGCCAACTGATAAAAGATTGCTCATCTTATGATAAACATTTTATCAGTTGACAGAAATCAGGTATCTCTTACAGTAACCGAAATAATGCCTACCTTCTCCTTCTCCTCATTCCACCATCCACGCTCGGTGATGTACTTGTTGAAGCGAGTGATCGGGTGATCCTTATCACCCCACGTCTCCACCTCCTCCGCTGATCTATAAGCCGTGGAGTCGTCGGATGTCGAGTGATGTCCCAGACGATATGTCATCGCTTCGATGAGCACCGGGCGGTTGGTCAGAGCCACACGGCGAGCCTCCTTCGTGGCGTTGTATACCGCTAGGAGGTCGTTTCCATCAACGCTGGAAGAGAAGAAGTTGAATAGATTGTACGTAAATTTGGCTTAAATCGCTCAAAAATAGCTTAAAATCGCTAGAAAAAAGCTAGAATATCGCTCGAAAATATGACTTTAAAATCGCTCAAAAATCACTAAAAATCTCTTAAAAATCTCTGAAAATCGCTCGAAAATCGCTCAAAAAATTGCTTAAAAGACAGTTCGAAAATAGCTCAAAACAGCTCAAAAATCGCTCAAAAATAGCTCAAAAATCACTGAAAATCACTAAAAATTCCTCAAAAAAGCTCAGAAATGACTCAAGCTTTAAGCTTTTTTCGAGCGATTTTCTAGCGATTTTTATGCGATTTTAGAGCTATTTCAGGGCTTTTTCAGAGCGATTTTAGAAATATTTTCTAGCGATCTCTAGAGCTATTTTGAAGCTGTTTTAAGACTATTTTAGGCGATTTTAGAGCGATTTTCTAGCGATTTTAGAGCGATTTTAAGCCATTTTTTGAGATATTTCAGGACTATTCTAGAGCTATTTCCTAGCGAGTTTTAGAGCTATTTTCTAGCGATTTTGAAGCTAGTTTCTAGCGATTTAAAGGCGATTCTAGAGCTATTTCCAAGCTATTTTCTTGCGATGTTTTGAGCTATTTTAAAGCTACGTTCTAAGCTAATTTCGAGCAATTTTCTAGCAATTTTTTCTAGCGATTTTCAGGCTATTTTTAAGCGATTTTTTGGCTATTTCCCAGCAATTTTAGAGCTATTTTCTAGCGATTTTCAAGTTTTTTCCTCACCGAATGGTATGCAACCCATAGGCGGGTCCCTTTCCAGCGATACCATCTCCACCGTATTGCTCACTGGTTGGTGTCGAGATGGCATAACCGTTATTCCGACAGAAGAAGATAATTGGGCATTTGAGAGTGGCTGCAAAGTTGAACGCCGCATGAGCATCACCCTCTGAAGCTGCTCCGTCTCCAAAATAGACGACGACGATGCGTTGATTGTCTTTTTGTTGTTTGAATGCGTAGGCGGAGCCGACGGCTTGTGGTAGTTGAGTGGTGAGGGGGGAGGAGATCGTCACAAAGTTACGCTCTTTGGCTCCAAAGTGCATCGGCATTTGGCGACCTGGAAATGAAGAAATTCACATTATTAGCATTTTAAGCCAATTTAGGCTAATTTAAAGTCATTTCAAGGCATTTTAGGCCAATTTCAAGTCAATTTTGAATTAATTAAGGCCATTTCAAGCCAATTTAGGCTAATTTAAAGTCACTTTTAAGCCAATTTAGGTCAGTTTTCAGCCAATTTCAAGGCATTTTAGGCAAATTTAAGTCAGTTTTAAGCCAATTTAAGCCAATTTAAGCCAATTTAAAGTCAATTTTAAGCTAATTTAGGCCATTTTAAGCAAAGTTAGGCCAATTTTAAGTCAATTTAGGCCATTTTGAGCATATTTTGAGCACGTTTAAAGCCATATTAAGCTTATTTCAAGTCAATTTATGCTACTTTGAGTTAGTTTTAAGGCAATTTTAGACCATTTAGGCCAATTTTATGCTAATTTAGACAATATTCAGCCGATTTAAAGCCATTTTAAGCAGATCTAAGCCCGATTTAAGCGTTTTGAACCAATTCAGACTAATTTTAAGCCAATTTAAGCCAATTTCAAAGCATTTCAGGCCATTCAAAACGCTAAAAACGACGCAATTTCACTTTAAAAGATCTATTTCGAGGCATTTTTAGAGCCGAAACAGCAAATTTGATTCATTTCTCGATTTTCAGCTATTTCTAGTGTGTTTTTACCCATTTTCATCCCGAAAAACGCAACTTTAGCTCATTTTTCAATTTAGTCGATTCTGAACCAATTTTGACTAATTTTAAACCATTTTTAGCGCTGAAAACGCATTTTT